CCCCCCCCCAATAGCTAGCAATCCAAAACAGTCCAGTGGCGCCTGAGCGGTGGGTGTTGCCTTCTGGTGCACTTCCAGTGATGTCAGGGGGTGTGGCATACACAAATAAGTTATGCTAATGAGCTCCTGCACCTCTTTTTCTACGAAATGACCCCTGGACTCGATGGCAAAAAAACCACATTTTTTCTTTATTTTAAGCATCTACAACTGTTAACGAAAATGGGGTCTCAAAACACTAGGTAAATCAAGAAACGACAAAACAGCAAAAACACAAAGGGCCTACAGAACAAACCAATAAACAAAAACAAAAGCCAGCAAAAGGTCTAAAGAAAGACCTTAAGCACAAATCAAAAGTTGGAACATGTTTGAAAATTCTCCACCGCAGAGTCCACTGTTCCCTCTAAGCTGAGTTAGTGTGCGCTAGCTCAGTTTTTTAACCTCTGGCCCACACATTTTTGTCTCAGCTCTGGAAGGATGGCTGTAGAGCAAACTGATTTATGCCGTAGTCAAATTGCTTGCTCACAACTTTAATGGCAGTCGCTCACAAAGTAGAATTGTTGCTCGCAAGATTCCACAGCTTAGAGGGAGTACTGCCGCAGACATAGCAGCCTTGGTAAAAATAGCACTATAAAAGTAACTGTAAAAAGATGCAGCAGAAAAATGCACATATAAGCAAAGAGCAGCTAGGACAGGGACTTTGAAGATGAATGCTAAGCAAAGAGATGCCAAGGTTAAGAATCCTTCACAGCTATATATACAGTCTTAAATATTCATGAAAAAGAAACCTAAAATTAGGTTCGGTGCCCAGATTTGAGAAGGGTAAATATAAAGAAACTGTGCACTTCAGAAAAGAGGCCTCGGCACTGAACGCCTCCCAGCATTCAAAATAAAAGTACAGTGTCCAATGACTTTCTTGGGACACAGAGAGAGATGTTCAGGAAGCTACCGTTGGGTTTAAGATCTACCCATCTTTGTTTAAATTTGTATTGTAAATTTGTTATTGTATTTTGCTGTATTTTACTGTTTTATACTTGCGTTTTTATTGTTATAATTTTGGCACACCGTGCCCTTGTCAGCCACCCTGAGCCTTCAGGGTAGGGTGGGATATAAATCCAAGGATAAATAAATAAATGTTGGTTGACTTCCAATCCGAATTTTGAGTCCCCAGCGATGCTCCCTCTAAGCTGTGGAGTCTTGTGAGCAAGAATTCTACTTTGTGAACTACTGGCATTAAAGCTGTGAGCGAGCGATTTGGCTACCGCATAAATCAGTTTGCTCTGGAGCATTCCTTCCTGAGCTAAGGAAAAAAATATGTGAGCTGGAGGCTAAAAAAACTGAGCTAGCTCACACTAACTCAGCTTAGAGGGGACACCGGTCCCCAGCAGATTTCTGTCCAATCAGAAAGGCCATGGGGTGACACTGTCAGGTACTAGAAACAGACGGTCACGAGGACAGAATTACCGCAGCGTCCTGTGCTGAAGCCAGCTTTCGTGTTTGTAGTGAAGTTTCTCCAGATATTCTATAGGGATGCCTTGTTCTTCATCTCTCCCACGCACGTAAATCCTGTTCAAGCATTTCTAAGAATAGGAGACAAGAATGAAGAAGAATGTTCAGACTGAAAATGGAACTCCTTGATCTCTAGAAGGGGGGGGGGAACAACCACACTCATCTCTTGCAGGGGAAAAAGTAGACAATGAATCTCATGGCGCTTTAAAGTAGGGATGAAGAATGAAGAAGAATGTTCAGACTGAAAATGGAACTCCTTGACCTCTAGAAGGGGGCGGGGCGGGGAACAACCACACTCATCTCTTGCAGGGAAAAAAGTAGACAATAAATCTCATGGCACTTTAAAGTAGGGATGCCAGCCTCCAGGTGGGACCAGGAGATCCCCTGGAATTACAGATCACCTCCAAACTTAAAGAGATCAGTTCCCCTGGAGAATCTGGATGCTTTGGAGGGTGGGCTCTATGGCATTATACCCCATTGGGGTCCCTGTACTCCCTAGGCTCCACCCCCAAATCTCCGGGAGTTTCCCAACCTCGAACTGGAAACGCTACTCCCCCTGGCTACCAGTGGCCAGAGGGAACCTGGCAAACTTAAAGACTCCCTCCCCCATAACTTGAGACACAAACAACGAAACACATCTGTGCGTGTTTCTGGCCACATTATATATACAGAACTGCGGCGCTCTAATGCTTCAGCAACTAAATGCCAATCAGCATCCCTACCCCCCCCAACTTATGTCGATGGGTTCAAGACCTCCTGCTAACCCTGGATGCACAAACAAAGTAAGACTCGGTAACAAATATGTTAAAGAGCTCTGGAGAAAGACATAGCCCCAGACCAATGCTCCCTCTAAGCTGTGGACTGTCTTGTGAGCAAAAAGTCTACTTTTGTGAGCTGCTGGCATTAAAGTTGTGAGCGAGCGATTCGGCTAGTGCAGAAATCAGTTTGCTCTGGAGCCGTTCTTCCTGAGCGGAGACAAAAATGTGTGAGCCGGAGGCTGAAAAGCTGTGAGCTAGCTCACACTAACTCAGCTTAGAGGGAACACTGCACCCAGACCCAAAGAGAGAGCACACCAACGGATTAAGTGGACATTCTCAAACATGACAACTTTAGCCTGGACAATATTTCAAACTCTCCAAGGGTTAGGAGGACAGTATGACTACACTAAGGCTGCATGGTCCGATCTTCTTCTCTTTTTTTGCACGTTTTATATGCAAAAGAACATCAACCACAAGATCAGCCGCTCAACTGCAGCCCTAAGCACCTTGCTTTTCCAGGCCTCACTAGGGACGACTGGAAGCGAACGGCCTCTTCACACGGTCAGCAGCAGACGCGCCACAAGGCTCCAGCATGGAAGTGGTGAAGCTTGTGGGATTTTTCCATCGCTGGAGATAACCCAGGAGCCCTGCCAATGGCCAGCCTGGGAGATCTTGAGGTTAATGGGCAGAAGGGCAGAATTCTACTTACGATTACAGTCTGCACTAGACGCTTTATGACATAACATTCCACCCAGCATTTGCTGGATGCAGAAGAGGTGTACGTTTAAGGAGTCTATATTGTTTGCCAAAGCAATTCTTCTTCATTGCCCAACGCACCCAAGTCGCAAAGTCATCCTCAGTGTACCCAGACAAGAGGAGGTGCATGAAAACGAGAAGGTTCAGCCCAAAGCAAGAATGGGGCAGCCCAAAGCCATTAAAAAAAAACTATTCACACATGAAGCTGCCTTATACTGAATGATAACTGTGCAAATTCAGATGTAGTTTTACCAAATAAAGTATAGGTAAAGGTAAAGGTTCCCTTGCTCGAAGGCCAGTCGAGTCCGACTCTAGGGTTGCGGTGCTCATCTCCGTTTCAAAGCCGAAGAGCCAGCGCTGTCCGAAGACGTTTCCATGGTCATGTGGCCGGCATGACTAAACACCAAGGTGCACGGAACGCTGTTACCTTCCCACCAAAGTGGTACCTATTTATCTACTTGCAATTTCTTGCTTTCGAACTGCTAGGTTGGCAGGAGCTGGAACTAGAGACGGGAGCTCACCCCGTCTTGCGGCACCCGGGTATTGAACTGCTGAACTACTGACCTTCCACAGCCTGCAGTTCAGCGTCTTAACCACTTGAGCCACCGCAGCTCCGCAAATAAAGTATAGTAGCCTCTATATCACAGTGATTGTTCCTTCTATTTAGCACACAATTTACACTGAGATCCCACCTGTTCCTTTTAATTGGAGATGCCAAGGATTGAACCTGGGACCTTCCGCATGCCAAGCACTGAGCCACAGACCCTCCCCCCCAGGAGATTTCTCCTCCAGGACATGCAGAAAGATTAAATGCCCTAATCCTGCCCAAGCAGCTGACCACACACGTCACAGAGCTGAGAGCTGCCCCAGTTTGGTGTAGTGGTTAAGCATGCGGACTCTAATCTGGGAGAACCGGGTTTGATTCCCCACTCCTCCCCTTGCACCTGCTGATGTAACCATGGGTCACTCACAAGCTCTGGCACAGCTGTTCCTGAAAGAGTAGTTTGTGTCAGAGTTATCTCAGCCCCACCCATCTCACAGGGTGTCTGTTGTGGGGAGGGGGAGGGAAATGAGTTTGTAAGCCGCTCTGAGACTCCAAGTGAAGGGCCGGGGTATAAATCCAATCTCTTCCTCTTCCTCTTCTTCTTCTCAGTTTCTTCTTCTTCTTCTCAGGCCAATGGCCCATCTAGTTTAACACTCTGTGCCACACAGTGGCCAAAAATACCAGGTGCCATCAGGAGGTCCAGCAGTGGGGCCAGGACACTAGAAGCCCTCCCACTGTTGACCCCCCCCCCAAGCACCAAGTAGGCAGAGCATCACTTGCCCCAGACTGAGAGTCCCTATCTGTACCTTGTGGCTAATAGCCACTGATGGGCCTCTGCTCCATATGCTTATCTAATGCTCTCTTGAAGCCGTCCGTGCTTGTAGTCGCCACCCGCCACCTCCTGTGGCCAGTGAATTCCACGTGTCAATCACTCTTTGGATGGTGACACCCTTTCCCACCCACGCAGAGTGCCTACCAGCCTCAACAACCTCTTTCTCACGTTCTGGGTTATCAGCAGGTCAGGCCATTACGTTTGCCACCCTTTTTGTCTCTTCTAAAATACACAGAGAGCCAGGACCAATTCACACCTCAGGTCCTCTCTCTCTCTTCCAGAGACATCCACAGACAGAGGAAGAAGAAGAAGAGAAGAAGAGATTGGACTTATACCCTGCCCGTCACACTGATAGGCTTACCATCTCCTTTCCCTTCCCCTCCCCACAACAGACACCCTGTGAGATCGGTGGGGCTGAGAGGAACTGCTCTTTCAAGGACAGCTCTGACTGAACTAGGGCTTGCCCAAGGTCATCCAGCAGCTGCGAGTGGAGGAGTGGGAAATCCAACCCGGTTCTCCCAGATTAGAGTCCGCGCACTTAACCACGACACCAAACTGGCCACCCCCCTTTAATAACAAGCCCTCACTCACACAGAGTTCTTGGGTTTGTTCTTCACCGCTGTTTTTCAATTCTCTCCCAACGTGCCTTCAGCTCTCACTGGCTGCTGTTAGGGAGAGGAGGGACCTAACCTGTCCGTCACAAGGATATGCCTAGATTTTATTATTTATTTAGAAAGCATTTATTTATTTATTTATTTATTTATTTATGAGGGCCACCAAGGTGGCTAACAATTTAAAACATATGTGACGAAATCACATTTAAAAACCATTTAAACACACACACTCCAAAAAAACCACAATTAAAACAATTAAGATACATACAGGACATAAAAACAGCCCCATTATACCACCACCGTCAAGGTATCTTAAAGGATGCATCGACGAGGCCCGAGGAAGAACCTGGAAACTATTGAAGATCTGACAAGCCATCGCCATTGGACATGTATATTATGGGGGTACCATCTGGAACTGCGGTGTTACCATCTTGGATTTAGGATATTAGTAATGGATTGAGTACTGTGGTTTTAGTGTTGGATGTTTTACTATTGGGGAGGGCGGGATACAAATATGAAAAATTAATTAATTAATTAATTAAAACAACTGGTTGGGAAGGAGGGATCGCTGAGGGAATGCCAAAATGAAACCAAAAAAAGTCTTCATCTGCTGGCGGAAGACAGCACCAGAGGGGGACAGGCAGACCTCCCTGGGGAGAGAGGTCCAGCATTTCGTTGCCACTGCTGAGAAGGCCCTCTCCCCAGCTGCCACCTGCCTAATCTCAGAAGTCGGGGGCACCCAAAGAACAACCTCAAGATTACCATAGCGGCCGGGCAGGTTCCTAGATTCCCCACCTGCCATTCCTCTATGTACTCAGCTATCCTTAAGTGAGCAAAATCTTGCATTTAAATAGGAGGGGGAGGAGGTGGAGAGACTGGATTTATACCCCGCCCTTCACTACCTGAAGGAGTCTCAAGAGCGTTTTACAGTCCCATCCTCTCCCCACAGCAGACACACTGTGAGGCAGGTGGGGGCTGAGAGAGCTCTCTCGAGAACTGCCCTCGAGAGAACAGCTCTGAAAGAATTTGTGACTGACCCAAGGTCACACCAGCGGCTGCATGGGGAGAAGGGGGGACACAAACCCAGTTCTCCCAGGTTAGAGCCCGCGCTCCTAACCACTACACCATACCAGGACTCGAAACACAGTATACTATGGCTGGGCAGGACAAAACAAAGAAAATGCTGGTGAAGATCAGCAATCCTGACAAGGCAAGTCGATCGCCTGACCTGGGTATAAAAGTGAAAGGCTAATGGAATCCTCCGCCAGCTGCTTCCCTGAGGTGCGCAAGGACCAGGGGAAGGGCCGCAGCTCAGTGGCAGAGCCCTTGCGGAAGGTCCCAGGATCAAATCCTGGCATCTCTGGTTAAGCGGCAGCTAGAGTGGGACAAGACCCTGATGCTAGAGGGTCTAGCTAGAGAAGACCCTGATGCTGGGAAAGACTGAAGGTAAAAAAAGACGACGGGGACGGCAAAGGATGAGATGGTTAGACAGTGTCACAGATGCCACGAACATGAAGCTGAGCCAACTTCAGAGGACGGCTGCTAGCAACCCCGGACTTCCCTGGTGGTCTCCCATTCATGTACTATCCAGGGCCGACCCGGCTTTGCTTCCCGGATCAGCTCGCCCAGGACATAGCTGCCGGGTTGCTCTCAGGGGCCGGATACAGGGGACCATATCATGCCAGAACTGGGAAATCTGCACTGATTTATATCCTGCCCATCCCGTAAACGGGCCCGGGGCGGGGTCGCGACATCTCAATAAATACAATAAAATTCAAAACATATTAAAATATATAAAATCAATAGTCATGCTTGCCGTAGGGAGAATCTGGCCCACTGATGTAACTAGGTATGGCCAGTTATCAGTAGGTGGGAGACCGCAACCTCGGGGGGGGGGGGGGGGGGGGGAGGCCCCGCCCCTCAGCCAAAGGCCTGGCGGAAGAGCTCCGTCTTGCAGGCCCTGTGAAATTGAGTAAGATCCCGCAGGGCCCTGATCTCAATAGGGAGCCTGTTCCACCAGGTGGGGGCCAGGGCGGAAAAAGCCCTGGCCGTGGTCGAGGCAAGGCTGACGTCCTTCGGGCCAGGGATCACCAGATGTTGATTCTCAGGCGTATATGGTCCCTTAGGTATGTTGGTCCCAGGCAGTATAAGGCTTTGAAGGCAATTACCAACAGGCACAATTTCAAATACTGCTTCTCACTTCTAAGCTCCTGAACAGCTCATGAAGGAAAACTTTCTCCTGTGTTATCTAGCCAGCCTCGCCCTTCGAATGCTCCCCTCCCCCGCTCACTTGGAGCCTACCCTACTAGCATTCAGGCCCCACGCCAAAACATTTCTTTTCTTTTTTTTACCCCACCTTTAACTGAAGTTTTATCCCACCCTTTCCAGCTGACTCACGGCCAGCATTCCTTCTCAGTGCTGCTTTACAGCTGTTTTACTATTACAGTTTTATGACTTCTGCTCAAATTGCTTTGTTGCTGTTTTTATGCCCCTTCGGGGTGATCGATGGCTTCTTTCATGGATGTTTTTACTGATGTGTTTTATGGTTTTATTATTGAATACCTTTTTAGCTGCCTCCGCCAGGCATCCGGACGGGCAACCTGTACATTTTCTAAACCACTTACAAGGGTTAACATGCCACCTATAAAATCTATTTGAGGTATTTCAGGTATACGAGCCCGTGTCCAGCAATCTGATGGAGGGGCTAGCATTCTCTAATCTGTTCTCGTACCTGTTTTTTCTTACCTCGGGGGTAGCTCGAAGATAAATAATACCATCCAGATGAAGACTAGATCCAAACTGCTCATTCATCCAGTTATGCCAGTCTTGGTATATAGTCCATTCTGTTTCATTCATGCAGTCGGACTCGTAGAGATTAGATGCAAAGATGTACCTTAACAACAACAACAACAAAAGAGTACTTTGAGCTCAATATAATCCTGTATTCTTCCAGAAAGAAAAAAAGAGGAAGAGGTGAGAATGACAGGATGAAAGCTGAATGGATGACTTGGGCTAGTCAGACATAAGAACATAGGAGACGCCAGTGTTGGATCAGGCCAAAGGCCCATCCAGTCCAACACTCTGTGTCACACAGTGGCCAGAAATACCAGGGGCCATCAGGAGGTCCACCAGTGGGGCCAGGACACTAGAAGCCCTCCCACTGTTGACCCCCCCCCCCCAAGCACCAAGAAGACAGAACATCACTTGCCCCAGAGCCCCTATCTATACCTTGTGGATAATAGCCACTGATGGACCTCTGCTCCAGATGATTATCTAATTCCCTTTTGAAGCCGTCCAGCCCACCGAATCCAGACAACAGCCCACCGAATTGTTTTATGCTAACAGCATCGCCAAGCCACAGGTGGGGGAGTGGAAAAGAAGTTTAGCGGCTCCCCTACAGTAATGGAATAGCTTCCCTTCGGGCAGAGTGTGCCACAGCCCAAGTACCTTCTAGGAGCATCTTGAATGGTGAAAAGTTATCTGCACAAGACAAAAATCCACACCTGTCGCTGTAAACGGATCTCTCGAAGAAAACGACGGGGTCCTCGGCCTCTTTGAGCTTCCCGTCGAGAGACTTCAGCTGCGCCCGGATTCTGCTCAGGCAGGCGTACGTCTGGAAAGTGAAGGCCCACCTCTCCGGCTTTTCGTACATCATCTGGAGCAAGTTGCCTCCGCTCTTCTGAGAGGCTGTCAGCTCCTCCTTGAAACACGAAACAAACAAAAGGCCACTTGTTTTAACGGTACCTTTACAATCCCCAGGAGCTGCGGTGGCTCAAGGGGTTAGGACGCTGAACTGCAGGCTGGGGAAGGTCGGTAGCTCAGCAATTCGAGACCCGAGTGTGCCGCATGACGGAGTGAGCTCCCGTCTCTAGTCCCAGCTCCTGCCAACCTAGCAGTTCGAAAGCAAGACATTGCAAGTAGATAAATAGGTACCGCTTCGGTGGGAAGGTAGCAGCGTTCCGTGCGCCTCGGTGTTTAGTCATGCCGGCCACATGACCACGGAAACGTCTTTGGACAGCACTGGCTCTTCGACTTGGAAGTGGAGACGAGCACCGCAACCCTAGAGTCGGACTCGACTGGCTTTCGAGCAAGGGACACCTTTACCTTAAACATTATATAAACGTTCTATCTCAAATGGTTTCTCTGAAGCCACATTACGAAACTTATAGTTTTGAAACGGCAGTAATAATCAAGTTAGAAATTAGAATACAAGTATTCTGTTTTTAAAGAATGAAGATTTAAGATACAAAACTATCACTTCTACAGTTTTCTCTTTTTATTTTGTAACTCTTTTACTTTCTCATCAATTGTTTCTCTACCATTTGCCACAAGATCATGCTCTTGTAGCAGCAGGTCAAAAATCCACTGCTTGAATATATCTTAATCACAATTTCCCTGGCTTTAACTGACTTCAGGCCAATTTCCCTGACTTTCCAGAAAGTGGCAACCCTGCCCTTTAATCTTTGTAAGAACCCATTGAAGTAGCAGGAGAATGAGCAAGAGTCCAGTAGCACCTTAAAACACTAACAAAGTTTGTGGCAGGTGACGAGCGTCCGTGGGTCGCTGCTCACTTCTTCAGAAAGTTCATACTCACGAAAGCTCCTCCCCGCCGCAAATTTCGTTAGTCTTTTTAAGGTGCTAGTGGATTCCTGCTCTTTTCTCCTGCTACAGACAGACTAACACGGCTACCCATCTTGAGCTACCCCTATGAAGTAGGTTAGGCTGAGAGCATGTGAGCAGCCCAAGGTCTCCCAGCAGGCTTCCATGGCAGAATGGGGGTTCAAACTTGGGTTTCCCAGATCCTAGTCTGATACTCTAACCACTATGCCATGCCAGATCTCTGACTTTAACTGCATCTTATATAGTCTGCCAGGTGCCCTGAGAGTCGAGGGCAAAAAAACTACCGTCTGATAGCAGACAGCAATCAATCCCCACCTACTTCAGCAGTGAGTACCTCCTAAAGAGCATAAGAGAAGCCATGCTGGATCCGGCCAATGGCCCATCCAGTCCAACACTGTGTGTCACACAGTGGCCAAAACCCAGGTGCCTTCCATGTGTGTGAGTGCTGCTGAAATCGAGCAACAGAGCACGGCCACAGCAACAAAACCAAAGACCATCAGAAGAAGAGATTGGATTTATACCCCGCCCTTCACTCGGAGTCTCAGAGCGGCTCACAAACTCCCTTCCCTTCCCCTCCCCACAACAGACACCCTGTGAGGTACAAGAAGAAGAGGAGATTGGATTTATACCCCTCCCTTCACTACCCAAAGGAGTCTCAGAGAGGCTGACAAACTCCTTTCCCTTCCCCTCCCCACAACAGACACCCTGTGAGGTAGGTGGGGCTGAGAGAGCTCTGACAGAAACGACTCCTTTTCAAGAACAGCTGTGCCAGAAGTATGGCTTGCCCAAGGTCATCCAGCCAGGTACAAGTGGAGGAGTGGGGAATCAAACCCGGTTCTCCCAGATTAGAATCCACACGCTTAACCACTACGCCAAACTGGCCCCGTTGTACTGGCCGAGGGTCCTTAGGCTAAAGAGGGGGACTTCCAGAATTTTCACGCACTTCATGTTCAGTAGTGACTCCCTCTCCTTTGCCGTAAAGTCACAGCTGGCTTATGGCGATAGGGTTTTCAGGGCGACAGACATTCAGAGGTGGCTTGCCACTGCCTGCCTCTGCGTCACAACCCTGCCATTCTTTGGTGGTCTCCCATCCGGATCTTATCCGGGGCCGACCCTCAGCATCCATGTGCCAAAGCCGCAGTGCATGTGGCACCTCTAAGGCAAAGCCTGCTGCTCCACTGCTTGATGGGGTCTGGCCCTTTAACAGCCAGCTTGCCTGATGAGCAGCTTGGCAGGCAGCCTTGAGCCAGGGGCGGGGAAACAAGGAGAGGAGTGGCAGCTGGGGTGCGGAGGCAGCCCCTGCAGGAATTGCTGGCATTCCATGGGAGTTCCAGAGGGGTGGAGCCTCCCAAGGGGCTGGCTGCACAAAACCCCCAAAGTGAAATAGGTCAGAAAGGGCATGCTGGCTCTGGCTCCCGAGTTTGAAAGGAGCAGGGTCGGGAGACAGGTGAGAACCAGGGTGAGGGCAGGCCCTCACAGAGGTCCAGAGGGGCCCGAGCCATTTCCATTTGGGATGGGTGGGTTTAAATTAAAAAATTAATACATGCAAAAACAATGATACAAAATGAGTAGCATTGCATTTTAAATGTTTGCATTTAATACAGTAAGAAAAAGAACATTGTAAGACTTTGTAAGACATGTACTCATTTTTATTTAAGATGCGATTCAATGTCCAAAGTGTAAATCTGAGGCCCCCAAGAATGTGAGGCCTGGGCCAAATGGCCCTGTTGCCCCCCCCCCCCCCACTCTCAGAGGCCCTGGGTGAGGGAAACCTCCTTCCATCTTAGTTTGAGGCCTGTGGGAGACTACAAGAGTGCCCCCTGCTGGCAAGAGTTCTCTGTTGGCAAGTGATGTTCTGTCTTCTTGGTGTTTGGGGGGGGGGGGTTTCAACAGTGGGAGGGCTTCTAGTGTCCTGGTCCCACTGGTGGACCTCCTGATGGCCCCTGGTATTTCTGGCCACTGTGTGACACAGAGTGTTGGACTGGATGGGCCATTGGCCTGATCCAACATTGGCTTCTCTTATGTTCTCTTATGTTCAAGGATCTGCCAGATTTGGGCAGGTCTTCTACGGGTATGTCCTACCAAGCGAGAAAAGGTTTGGATGTTAATAACAGTATTTTAAGAGAGCCTAGGGATTGACTTAGCTGGTGTGGCCATCCACTGGGCCCTCAAGACGTTTCACTCCAAAGGACAGGAATACAGGCTTGAAAACAGGGAAAGCTCAATTCTTGAGTTCTTTTATTCCTGTACTGAATGAGCACAGCTAGCCTGGCTGATGCCATCAGCCGTCTCAGAGGTGACTCAGCAACAGCTGTCGGCTTGGTGCCTGGAAGCAGCTGGCAATGTTTCTTCTAAGCATATGCAAAGAATAAAACTCCAGTCCTCATACTTAAGAAAAGACCTCTTCCAGCCTTTTTATGGGAAGAGATTAGGTTACGGTCGTTTAGGTCATGGAACTTCGGCTAGCCGCAGAAAACTTGGCTGCCTTGAACATATGGGCACCGTAACTCATTAACAATTAGGCCGGCAGTCACATGGAACCATACACAAGGCACAATATCTTCAACCTCAATATTAGGAGACATATGCTTTCTTTCTTTCTTTTTTAAAGTACCCGAAGGTACACTTTTATTATTTTTTCGTTATGCACTACAGACATACGTGAAAACAAACAACACATAACTATCAGTAACAAACATAAAACATATTAAAGTAAAAAGTAAAGGTTCCCTTGCTCGAAAGCCAGTCGAGTCCGACTCTAGGGTTGCAGTGCTCATCTCCATTTCAAAGCCGAAGAGCCAGCGTTGTCCGAAGACGTTTCCGTGGTCATGTGGCCGGCATGACTAGACACCAAGGTGCACGGAACGCTGTCTACCTTCCCACCAAAGTGGTACCTATTTATCTACTTGCAATTTCTTGCTTTCGAACTGCTAGGCTGGCAGGAGCTGGAACTAGAGACGGGAGCTCACTCCGTCATGCGGCACCCAGGTCTCGAAGTGCTGAAACATATTACAGGAGGCTTATTCTGTTTTCTGTTCTTTAGTTATCTATTTGTTACATTTCTAAATCTCATTGTCTATTTTACTAGCTTTTCTGCGTACTCAAATTTCCATCAAGTTATTGCGCTTATATTGTACCAGTCATAAAATCTCTTCCAAGTTTTTTGAAAAGTCCATTCTGTTCCAGCTCTCGTCTCCAATGTCAATTTATCATTTTCAGCCGTTTCAAACAGCTTATTCACATATTCTTGTTTTGTTGGAATCTCCATTGTTTTCCAATATTTAGCATATAAAATCCTTGCAGCTGTCGACAAGTGAACAATCAAAGACCTATCCGCTTTATCAAAGTCTTTCGGAAATATATTCAATAACAATATCTCTGGAGTAAATGGGACCTTAGTTCTTATTATTTTTTGCATTATTTTTTTTTCATTATGCACTCAATATTATGAGACATATGTTTTTTGACAGCAGAGGATTGGTAGCATGAGTTTTATAGTAGGATGAACAGATTCTGAATCTTTAGTAGGCACGTATAAGCACAACCAGCCAAAATTCATTCGTTTTTCAAATCAGAGCTCTAACAGTGCTGCTTGCTGCAATTCTCATTATTTTAAGAAAGCATATCCGCAACTTTGGCATTTGTAATCATTTATTTAATTGGCTCGGAATGCTCAGCTGCATCCATTCACTCAACCACTAGAGGGCAGATTGGGAGCCAGTTAAAAGTGATGTCATTAAAAGAGGGCTTTTGTGGAAAACTCTGATTAAAATGAAATCTCTGTTCCTCTTGGAAACAAATAGTATACTTTAACAATGTGATGTAGAGGGAAGAGGAATAAGCATCATGTATAGACGTGCATGGGGTTCTTTATTTTTAATCTAAAAATTATACAGCAATTTGTAAGGTGGATTCAGGTGGGTAGCTGTGTTGGTCTGAAGCAACAGAACAAAGTTTGAGTCCAGCGGCACCTTTAAGACCAACAAAGTTTAATTCTGGGCATAAGCTTTCATGAGTATGCAACGCTTCTTCAGATACAACTTGAAAGTAACTGAATCCCACAGAACTGTGTGGGCTGCAAGTTAATACTGCAACCAACAGACGCTGAAATGTGACTGTTTTCGCCTCTTTGCTCCACCCCACAATTTACGGCCCCTGCATCACAAAGTGGTGAGGTTCTCAATATGATCACGTAAAACTCATACCTCACAATCATCTGGGCAAGTCTGAACATTGCACCATCTTGCTACGGGCTCAGGAACAACTTCCCACTCTTCTCTGGCTTGTTTGAGAATATTCACAAAGGTAGACTTCCCTGCAGCTGTGGAGAAAAGGACTATGCTTATAAGAAAGTACAATTCTAGTTTGTCCCTTAGCAGGGAAATACACGCTAAAAAGTGAAGTGTTTTCCTTTTAAAGGGTTTCAGGTATTTCAAATATGTATGTACACATCTGTTTAGAATGCACACCCTGCAGTATTTCACTGGCTTAGGGTAGTTTATAATATTCCAAAGAGGCCGAGCTTTGTTCTCTTGCATCCCTTAAAGGTAGAGGTTCCCTTGCTCGAAAGCCAGTCAAATCCGACTCTAGGGTTGCGGTGCTCATCTCGGTTTCAAAGCCGAAGAGCCAGCGCTGTCCGAAGACGTTTCCGTGGTCATGTGGCCGGCATGAATAAACACCAAGGCGCACGGAACGCTGTTACCTTCCCACCAAAGTGGTACCTATTTATCTACTTGCAATGTCTTGCTTTCGAACTGCTAGGTTGGCAGGAGCTGGACCTAGAGATGGGAGCTCACTCTATCATGTGGCACCCGGGTCTCGAACTGCTGAACTACTGACCTTCCACAGGCTGCAGTTCAGCATCTTAACCACTTGAGCCACCGCAGCTCCTCAATCACCGTACATTGTTCCAAAAATGACAGTCCTAAACTGTATGTGACTTTATTTCCACTATGGTTACTGAAGAAGTTTATTAAGCACATATAGACCTAATCACATATCAGGACTGTGCCCATGCAATATGCAGCTATCTGAGTCTTCTTTCTGTAGCCCACTATTTCTGACTCAGTTCTAAATTCCTTGTGATTGGTTTTAAGATCTATACTCCTAAATCAAATGTCCCACCTAAAGCTCAAAAAATAACTCAAGATTCCCTTTAAAAGCCTACTTTCTGTTTTTTGCTTTCGAACTGCTAGGTTGGCAGGAGCTGGAGCTGGAACTAGAGATGGGAGCTCACTCCGTCATGCGGCACACTTGGGTCTCGAACTGCCGAACTACCGACCTTCCACAGCCTGCAGTTCCAGCGTCTTAACCACTTGAGCCACAGCAGCTCCTTCTTGCATCCCTTACTATTATTTAAAAAGTTCTAATGCTACCTTTCCACCTGATTAGGGTCCTCATGGTAATATCAAAACTAGGGATGAGGGTCAACAATGGTTACTGAGGGTATGACAAACAAAACAAAAAACACCTGATACGGGGAGACAGAAAAATTTCCGTGGGGTGGGAGTTCCAACGTTTTGGCACCATGATGAAGAAAGCCCTTTGTCAGGTTGCCACCCATCTTAGCTCAGATGATGTGGTACCAGAAACAGCCTCTGAAGATAACACATCACCTGTAAAGCATAATAAAGCTTGTGTATTTAAAATAGCAACTTCGACACTGTAGGAAAGCTTAGCGGTGCCCATCCCTTTTGGCTACTAGGACTCCTGATTATCAAGTGGAAATTTGACAGGTGCTGGTTTTCTTTCAGCACCAATACAAATATGGGGAAAGCTTAATCTACCACATTTCTGCTTGCTACAAAGCTACTGTCCCAGGCACCTAGGGAACATTTGAGGCAAGGTGGATTTCATACATCTGCTGTAATTGTTCTGGAGCCATCAGGGTTCCTTGTAACAACCCTTATAACTCTTTAATATTCATTCTGGGTAGCATTTAGAGGAAACTGGAAAAACTGGAATACCGATCTATGGAGGCACTCAAAGCAAATGATGCTGTCAGCAGAGGCAGGAGAGACAGAGCACTATGTGAAAGGTATGAACCATCTTTAAGTAATAACATAAAAAATTATGCCACTTTTCTATGAATTTACACCAGCAACTCCTTATTTCTTGTTTAATGCAAGCCACTTTGAGTCTATAGAATGACGCATAGCCTCCTAAATAATAATTTTAAAAAAAACATGGTAGGGGGAAGGATAGGGTTGCCACCAGTGCTCCCTCTAAGCTGTGGAATCTTGTGAGCAAAATTTCTACTTTGTGAGCCACTGGCACTAAAGTTGTGAGCGGGCGATTCAGCTCCTGCATAGATTAGTTTGCTCTGGAGCCATCCTTCCTCAGCTAACACAAAAATGTGTGAGCCGGGGGCTAAAAAACGGTGCGCTATCTCACACTAACTCAGCTTAGAGGGAACACCGGTTGCCCGGTCTGCCTCGGCCACCCAAGGGGGATGGGGTTGACAGATCCAGGTCAGGAAACGCCTGGAAATTTGGGGACCTCAGTGGGCTACAATGCCCATAGAATCTCCCCTCCCAAACACCCATTTTCTCTATGGGAACTGATCTATGAAGTCTGGAGATAACTTGTAATTCTGGGGGAATCCAGAGCCCAACTAGAGCCCGGCATCCATAGGGAAGGATGAGAAGACACCCCTCAGCACAAACAGTGTCTAGTTTTATTCAGGTGGGTTGCCTTGTTCGTCTGAAGCAACAGAGCAAAGTTTGACTCCAGCGGCACCTTTAAGGCCAACAAAGTTTAATTCTCCGTATCAGCTTTCATGTGCACGCAACACTTCTTCAGAAACTGACACCTTTAAGACCAACGATTCTGGATCTAAGCTTTTGTGTTTTGCAGCTATGCAGCCATCTTATGTCTCTGCCCCCGGGCAAGATGAAGCATTCTTTTTCCATGTTAACAAAAGGAGCCCGTGCTCCCTCTAAGCTGTGGAGTCCTGTGAGCAAAAGTTCTGCTTTGTGATCTACTGGCATGAACGCTGTGAGGGAGCGATTTGGCTCCTGCATCGATTAGTTTGCTCTGGAGCCCTCCTTCCTGAGCTGAGACAAAAATGTGTAAGCCAGAGGCTAAAAAGCTGTGAGCTAGCTCACACTGACTCAGCTTAGAAGGAACACCGTGGTATAAGATTCCATTGAAGTCCCCATTCGTCTCAATGGAAGGAAGGAAAGGGGGCCAACCATGCACCCCACCCTGAGCACCTTAAAGAAAGAACAGGATTAGACGCCAACGGAGCAAAAGGCAGACGGGAGCGCCTCCAGCCTCGTCCCTTTCCCACAAGTCTTTGTCCCTCTCCCCGCCAACTTTTTATCCCGCCCTTCCTCCAAGGAGCACTCAGGGCGGCCCGCGTGCTCCCCCCTCTCCTCGTGAACAACAACCCTGCGAGGTAGGCCAGGCCGTGAAAGGGGGGCGCCAGGCCCGAGGCCACCCTCCCGAGCTTGCAGGCTGGGAGAGGCGCCCGCACGGCCCCAGCGGCTCTTTCCCCTTACCTATGTTGCCCTCGATGGCGATTTTCTTGATTCTCTCGGCCCGGCTCCGTTTGGGTGGGGTCGCCATGGAGACCAAAGTTGCCGGTGGTACCCGGAGGGCTGGCGGCCGCGAGAGACGGGAAGGGCGGCGGGACAAAACAGGCGCGCTCTCCCGCCTTCGCGCAGATTCCCTCCTCCCTGGTTCCCTTTCTCCCCTCTCGCGCGCCAATCTCTCTTTTGCCGCCGGGTCCTTCGAATTGGGCGCGCGGTCGCCCCGGATTGGCTACGGCGCGTCGTGACGTGACAGCGAGGGTTCCTTCCTGTTCCCCCCCCCCTCGCCGGCGGGCTCCTTCCCTCCGGCTCTTGGTCGTCAGTGCCTCATTTGCATATTTTACCGCGTCGCCACCCCCCTCTTGTTCTTCTTCTTCTCCCGGCCGGCTGTGCTCTCCCTACGGGTGCCTGAGAGGGTCAGAGCAGCAGCCGCTAGAGACCGCGAACAGCCCCAAACCTGCTTCTCTTCTACTGTACAGGCGATCACGTTCCGGTCGGAGAAAAGAGACGCCGGCTTCGAAGAGAAGAGCCTTAATCAAGTGCCGAGCGATGGATGGAGCCGCAGGACGCGCTTGTCGCGGCGTGAATACATCGATCGGCGTGCGCGCTGCCGATAGCTGAGGGCATGGTTGCCATAGCAACCAGCCAAGTTCCCACCCCTACTTCCTAGGCCGCAAGTTCATCCTTCCGGGCTTCGGTTGCCAACTCGGGGGTTAGAAATTCCTGGAGTTTTGGAGGTGGTGCCTGGGGGGCGGGATTTGATGAGGGGCCTCCCAACTAGGTGTGTAATGCCATAGAGTCCGACCACTTTCTCCAAGGGATCTCTGTCGCCTGGATATGCTGTAATTCCAGGCCTCCAGACCCCACCTAGAGGTTGGCAACCCTATGTGAGCCTTTGCTTTTTCTACCTCCGCTCTGGTTCCTTTGACAGGAATGCACTAAGCACAGACTTCCCAGCTGCTGTGGGGAAAAGCTGCTCCCTCCCCTACATGCTGCTAGGGTTGCCAGCCTCCAGGTGGGGCCTGGGGATCTCCCGCTTTTACAACTGATCTAAAGCTGACAGAGATCAGCTCCCCTGGAGAACATGGCTGCTCTGAAGGGTGGGCTCTATGGCATTGGACCGTGCTGAGGCCCCTCCCCAAACCCCGCCCTCTCCTGGACCCACCCCCAGGTATTTTCCAACCCAGACCTGGCAACCCTAGCTGCTGTGGTCACATGCCAGATTCTAGGCTACAGAGATCAGTTCCTCTGGAGAAAATGCCTGCTTTGGAGGGTGGACTCTGTGGCACTGTACCTTACTGAGGTCTCTGTCATCCCCAGGCTGCATCCCCAAATCTCCAGGAATTTCTCAATGTGGAGTTGGCAACCCTAAAGCCCCCCGTCAGCCCCAGGGAATGTAACTGCCCCCTTGTGCTTGCTGTACTGAGGCCAAGGTACAAGTGAAGGGCCTCTGCTGCACAAATAGCTTTCCATGCTACTCCCTTAACATACAGTGTGCATGGCTGGCTCTTCAATGATCACTAGGGTTTCAAAACTCGGGGTGTTGCTAAATATCAAAAACTCCATTGAGCCGGCTACATATTTGACTTCACTGGAGGGACAGAACTCTAGAAGGGCATTTGCTTCTGCTGCTGTGGTTATTCAAGGCAGCTACAATAAAAAACCCTACCTTGAAAGGCTATGTTCAGGGCTTTTTTTGTAGAAAAACCCAAGCAGGAACTCATTAGCATAATAGACCACACCCAACAGCAGAAATCTATTAGCATATTAGGCCACACCCATGACAATACAGCTCAGTAGCATATTAGGCCACACACCCCATGTTACCAGAAGTGTGGTCATCCAGCCACACCCACCTTTTGCTTCTTATTCTGTTTACCTTGTTTGTTGTCAAAACCCAGGGCTTTTTTGGAGCAGGAACTCCTTTGCATGTTAGGCCACACACTCCTAATGTAGCCAATCCTAATGAGTCCCTGTTGTTGGGTGTGGCCTATTATGTTAATGAGTTCCTGCTGGGTGTGGCCAACTCGGGAGCCAGACGGAACTCCGTTCCTGTGCGTTCCTGCCCAAAAATAGCCCTGGACTATGTTCATGTGCACTTCATGCGAGGTTGAATCAGTAGAGCATATGTGTGACGTTCTTGCTTATTGGGGAGACGGTTTTACCTCTAAACACGCTTTGTGTACCTAAACTTGGTAGATTTCTGCTGCCACCAGGAATTAAAAATTCCAAATCTCTCTCTCTGCTGGTAGAATTACCTAGGGTCCCTGAGGAAGAACTGTACTGATTGCTGGGATAAGCTTAAATAAACACTGATTTATTTAATAAAGAACAAAATAGGTTTCTGGTTATTTTCAACTGTTAGTGGGGGGGAAAGAACTTGTAAATATAACTGGCAAAACTTGGTGTTACAGTCACTCAGACTTCACTCTGACAGGCATACACTCTCAGTATAATTTCTCTCTCTCATATATATATATATAAACTGTTTGCCTTATTCACACAGAATAGAAGCAAAATTCCATAGTCACACAGACCATGCTGTCTCCTCAAACTTCACACACACAACTCTGTCATAAAACATTTCTCCTCTCACCCTCAGTCATCAGCCAATCACAGCACACTCATCTCCCCCTATCACTCTCTTTACATTACTGCTGTCAAACTAAACATTTAAAGATACATACACACCCAAATATGGAATCATTACAATATGTTTTTCAGTTGCCCATTCTACAGAGAGGCTCATCTTAAAATCATTACCCCATTAGTTAATAGGATACCTGGTCACATTAATACAAATAAAGCAAAGCTTCACTGGCTTCTATCAGATAAGCATGCAGAGATGACACATTCAGTTGCTGAGTTCTGCACATTGATTCTTAGATTGCGGTAGTCGCATTTTAAAAGTTTTTAAATTTAGATTTTTATTCTGTATATTATCTCCGTTTCCCCCCCCTCTTTCTCATATTATGTTTATATTGTATGCTGGTCTTAAGACCTTAATAATAAAACTAACTAAACTAAACTCTTCAATCAGGTGAGGCGAGGTAGTGGCCTCAGGCAGTAGAGCTGAGGGTTGCAGCCAGCCTATGGTTGCCATGGGCACTTCACTCAAATCCTTTTTCTCTACACTGGCACAAGTGCAAAGCTTGTGGCACAGAACATTTGAAAATATAAGCATTCGAACCCTTTTGGAATGAGGCACGCGGATCTCAGCTGTAGAAAAGAACAAGAGACCAGTAGCATCTTAAAAGAGTAAGAAAATATGTGGCAGGATATGAGCTTTTGCAAGTCACTCCTCACTTCTTCAGGTAACTGAAGATACCTTGTTCTTTTCTACTGCTACAGACAGGCTAACATGGCTCCCCAGGGGTCATTTCCTGCACGAGCGCACAGGAGCAGAGCTCCAGCAGTAAAGAGCCCGGGGGGCGGGCACATGCAACAAGCCCCGCCCCCTGCTCCCCGCAGCCCTCAGTCAAAGCAAGAAGCAGCCAGGTAAGTTGCAGAGCCCCCCCCCCCCCGCAATCCAAAACAGTCCAGTGGCACCTTTAAGGCCAAGGTTTATTCAGGTACAAGCGCTCCCTCCTCTGTGAGGGCAGATCTGTGCGTCCTCCCCCCCATAGCTAGCAATCCAAGAGTCCAGTGGAGCCTGAGCGGTGGGTGTTGCCTTCTGACACACTTCTGGTGATGTCAGGGGGTGTGGCATATACAAATAAGTTATGCTAATGAGCTCCTGCACCTCTTTTTCTACGAAATGACCCCTGTGGCTACCCATCTTCATAGATCTCAGCTGTGGGCACACACTCAGCTGTTCTTGCTGGAAGACTCTCCTGGTGAGGCAGAGTAGGTCCCTCACCCCCACCCCGAAACTCAGAAGACAGGACTTTCAAGTCAGAGGCTGCAGCTATAGGGTTTGAGATGCTTTAAGTACCAAGGGCATCTGAAAAAACAGGTAAGGTTGGACGCTAATGAACACTATCAACCCGTACCGATCTGATTTATGCAAAATATGCAGCAAGCACTACCAGTAAACACAATTGGGGGAAAAGCTATAGTAACAGAAGCGAGAGTGATCAAGATAACGTAGAAAGCGGTTGTCCAGGCAACCTGAGTACTGGTGGGAACCAGTCAAAGCCATAAATCCAGAGAGACTCACAAAGCGAATGGTTTTACGCACACACACTGCTGGAAATCCAGCCAATTGAAGGCCAAACCTTACTACTGACTACTTCTCAATCTATTCTGAAACCTGGCGTACTCAGGTTCTTGAATATTATTATTATTTCGGGCATTTCTCTGTTGTCTTTCCATTAAAACATCTCTTAGCTGGTTTACAATTGACATCAACCAAAAGCCCCAAAACTATAACGGCAAAAAGCATCAGAAATGAAACAGCCAGTCATTCACTGAAGACATTTTTTTTAACCCAACGCCTAAAGGCCAACAGGGATGGTGCCAAGCAACAGCCAGTTTGGGGTAGTGTCTGGAGAACTGGGTTTGATTCCTCACTCCTCCACATGAAGCCAGCTGGGTGACCTTGGGTCAGTCACAGTTCTCTCAGACCTGTTCTCTCAAGAGCAGTTATCTCAGAGGTCTCTCAGCCCCACCCACCTCACAGGGTGTCTGTTGTGGGGAGAGAAAGGAAAGGAGACGATAAACCTCTCTGAAACTCCAAGTGAAGGGCAGGATATAAATTCAATCTCTTCTTCTTTGCAAAGGGTGTTCCATGGACAGGATGCCGCCACCCAGCAGACGGTGTGGGATCCAGGGCCGACTTATCCATTAGGCACAGTAGACAGAGTGTCTGGGGCCCACGATACTTTTAGGGGCCCACACAATTGTTTTAATTTCTTTTAAAATCAGAAGGGGAGGAGGGATAAACTTTTAGGGTCGAAAAAAATGTTTTAATTTTTTTCTCACAATAAACAAAACGAAATGTTTAGGGCTCACAAAAATATATTTTGCCTAAAACGGGGGGGGGGGGGAGAGAGCTGAAGTATTGAAAGTTACATCAAAAATAATTCTAAATATTTTTATGGAGGAAGTGGTCGTGGCCCACAAAACTCATTATGGGGCCCCGATGGGACCCATGATCAGGGGTCATTTTGCAGAAAAAGAGGTGCAGGAACTCATTAGCATAACACATTAGCATAACTCATTTGCATATGCCACACCCCCTGACATCGCCGGAAGTGTGTCAGAAGGCAACACCCACCACTCAGGCTCCACTGGACTATTTTGGATTGCTAGCTATTGGGGGGGGGGGACGTGCAAATCTGTCCTTGCAGAGGAGGGAGAGCTTGTACCTGAATAAAACTTGGTCTTAAAGGTGCTACTGGACTGCTTTGGACCGGGGGGCTGGGGGGGGGTCTCTGCAACTTACCTGGCTGCTTCTTGCTCTGACTGAGTGCTGCTGGGAGCAGGGGGTGGGGCTTGTTGCATGTGCCCGGCCCCTGGGCTCTTTACTGCTGGAGCTCCTGCAGGAAATGACCCCTGCCCATGATGAGTATTCTTCAAA